AAAAGTCACCTGTACCTGACGGCAAGTTGTTTCCATGTAGCCAATGACAATATCCTGTTGAGCAGCTTTCTAAATTTGAGGTATATCTGGTCAGAAATCAGCGGAGAAAAAAATGTAATTATGCCAAACTTTCAAGACACAGTGGACTCTTTTACCTACTCCCCTTACCACCCAAATAACTGTCTACATGAAGGGAATAAAAACAGTACAGTTGTTTTGTTTTGCTTTGCTTTGAAATCCTATTTCACTCAAGGGAGAAAAGAAAGTAAATGATATAGTATAACTCCATTGACAAAAAGACAAAGCATGGGTTAGGCTAGAGATCTTAAGATTTCCTGTTTGGTTCCCATTTTAACATTTCTGTCATTAACTGTATACCTTTGTCCATAACATTGTAATCTCTCTTAGACTAAAAAATATACAGGACAATGTGAGAGCCAGTCCTCTTTCTGATACTTCTGCAGTGCTCCCACCTTATAAAAAAGCCTTTTTCTATTTCTGTAAACAAAGCACTTCGATTGGGATTAAATTGTGACCCAACCCATATAGAATTCCAGTCTACACCAAGTAGTATTGCAGGGAATCTCTAGCGTGCATGCATGCATAATCATACTCCATGCCCTCAGGGTTGGAAATGTGGTTATATCTGATAATATAAAGCAGCTTTGAGCTGGTGATAGGTTAACATTAAAAGGATTAAGGCTTGCTTTGACATGGACTGACATACAAAAATTAGATTTAATGCTAGCAGCTGGAATGCTCACGAAAATAAAGAGTAAGTAAGGGAAAGACAAATGGAGTTAAATTAGAGCAAGTGGGTGTGAAAGGTGTGCCCAGGATGATTTTCAACTCAGTTTTAAAATGTTTCGGTCAAGGTCTAAAAAAGGTAGAGTTGGCATCAATTCTTATCAATGATTATAAAATATAGGAAAAAGTCTCCAGTGGAAATTTTCGCTTTGCAATATAAGTATTGTACCACTGGAAACTTTTTAAAAAGAGAAGTGACTAATCCTGGAACTTTCTAAGTACTTTTCAGCTTCACCACCCTTGAAAAGCAAGCTAACATTTTATTATTTATTTATTTATTTTTGAGATGGAGATTCGCTCTTGTTACCCAGGCTGGAGTGCAATGGCGCTATCTCGGCTCACTGCAACCTCCGCCTCCTGGGTTCAGGCAATTCTCCTGCCTCGGCCTCCTGAGTAGCTGGGATTACAGGCACGCGCCAACGTGCCCAGCTAATTTTTTGTATTTTTAGTAGAGACGGGGTTTCACCATGTTGACCAGGATGGTCTCGATCTCTTGACCTCGTGATCCACCCACCTCGGCCTCCCAAAGTGCTGGGATTACAGCGGTGAGCCACCACGCCCAGCCCCCTAACATTTTAAAATATAGAAGACCTGTTAAGTCTCGGGAGGCAGATTTTTCTCTCAGCATACTGGCCAGAAAATTAACTTAAAGGTCTGAGCCACACAGTTTAACCTTGATTACAAAACTTTTTGACGGCTGGCAGAGTGCACCTCAAGATATATTTGCTGAGCTGCAGGTGGTTGATAAGAACCAGGACATAAGTATCCACAAATTCCTTTTCCCCTATACCTCTGTGCTCTGTGGACTACCTATGTCAGAGTCATGGGGCTAAGGGATTAAAAATGCAATTTTTCTGCCCCCACTCCAGACCTACTGAAGCAGAATCTCTGAGAGTGGTGCTTAGGAACAAGCACCCCGAGTGATTCTCATGCTTACCAAAGTTTGAGAACCATTGACCTATTTTCTGACCATTTTCAATATTCTCTACACCAGATCCCTCATCTTATTTTTATTGGAAAAACAAACAACAACAAAACATACTTGCCAAGCATTGTCTTTCACTGGCTTGGGTGGTAGGCATTACTAAAGTTTGAGGTCTTCACTCTAGAAGGTCTGTAAGACGAGAGACACACATGAAAACAAAATGTGCCATGCTGTTCACCCTGCCTGAAGTGCCACCATCAGCCCTTCTCCTTATAGCCCTGCTCAATTCCTTCCTTTTCCTTCTCAAGACTCAGTTATTGTAGCTTCTCCTATTAACTCTGAAAGCAGAGATCATTATCTCTTCCTTTTGGCTATTATTTGGTCTCACTATGAAGTATACAAACCATAGAAGTGCTGTTACAGTGTGACTGAAACTGTCTCCCCTGTAAAACTGTTCACTTGAGGACAAGGAGAAAATTTCTTACTATTTTATCCCTACTTCCTAAGTGAGTGTCTGGCACAGAATTAACACTCCATCATTCTTGTTCAATGAATAAATGATAAAAAGAGTCCACAGGATTTGGGGAGGTGACTAAATTTTGAAAGCAGCATGAATTGTGGTGAGATACTAAAATTAAAACATAATTCAGTAATCTTCAAAAGTTATACAGACCCACACTGCCCATAGCAAACACTTTATTGGACATTGGTAAATTTGTCTCTTCTATGATAAATTAAAGGGTGAACCTGGGAAGTTCAAAAACAGAGGAAGATAGAAGTTGAATTTCCTTCCCTTTGGTGGTTCTGGGGGCTTGATAAGGGCAATTAATTTGTTGTTAGTTAACTCAATTTCTTTAAGAATTCTTTTTTTTTCATGTTTTTTTAAATTGCATTTTAGGTTTTGGGGTACATGTGCAGAACGTGCAAAATAGTTGCATAGGTACACACATGGCAGTGTGTTTTGCTGCCTTCCTGCCCTTCACCCACATTTGGCATTTCTCCCTAGGCTATCCCTCCCCAGCTCCCCCCGCCCCCTGCTGTCCCTCCCCAGAATTCTTATTTTTACTTTCAGCTATTACCATCTTAAAGTCTCTGACATGTATAAGGATAAATATTTGTGAGTCTGTTTAATAATTTGATGCACATAGCTATGTGCATAAAACATAAAATGTATTTTATGCTTTTAGAATTCAAAGTCTCTAATATCTTTAATTCCAGATGCAAATTTGTCTACTTTTACAAATTCCTCTTCTTCTAGCCTTTACAGACTGTAGATTATATTTTATACTAGTGAGTACCATTAAAATTCCGATAAATTGTAATGTCACTAGATTCTAAGATTTACTTTTTAAAATATTTCACATGGCAGAAATCAGGATTGTCTTAAAACTGATGACGTCTTATTTTAAATAAAATACTGTAGCTTTATTCTTGTCAATAGTAACACTAAACAACTACAAGGGATCTCAAATGCTATATTTAAAGCTTGTAAAATATATAGTACTTGCATAAAGAATTTGATTATAAGATAATTGAAAAACAAAATTTAATAAATTTCTGTATTTAAATCCTTGAGGAGTAATAAAAAAGACACAACACTTTATTTCTTAAGCTAGTCTATGAAACAGACCTCAAAGTTTAATGTATATCTTTATCCTTTTCTTTCACACCTGGAGCTAAGACTTTGTGAATTGTGTATCTTCAGAAATTAAAGAGTGACTGAAAGTTTATTCCAAATCATGCATATAGGGAAGTACTCTTTGGGCTGAGGAATGTAACTTATGCCAGAAATACAAGCGTACCTTGGAGATACTGCAGGTTTGGTTCCAGATTGCCACAATAAATTGCAATAAAGGGAGTTACACAATTTTTTGATTCCCTACTGCATATAAAAGTTATGTTTATACTATACTGTAGTCTATTAAGTATGCAATAGCATTATATCTAAAAATAATTTGCATACAGTAATTTTTAAATACCTTATTACTAAAAATATTCTGAGCCTTTAACAAGTTGTAATTTCTTTGCTGGTGGAGATTCTTGCCTTGATGCTCATAACTCCTGACTGTTCAGGGAGGAGTCTGCTGAACACTGGGGTGGCTGTGGCAATTTCTTAAAATAAGGTATCAGTGAAGTTGGCTGCATTGATTGTTTTTTGTTTCACAAAAAATGTCTCTGTGGCATGTGATGATTGTAGCAAAATGCTACTTGACAGCATTTTACCCAGAATATAACTTGCAAAACTGCAGTCAATCCTCTCCAACCCTACCACTGTTTGACTATAAGTTCATGTAATATTCTAAATTCTGTTGCCATTTTAACAATGGTCACAGCATCTTCATTAGGAGTAGATTCCATCTCAAGAAACCACTTGCTCATCCATAGGAAGCAATTCCTTATCCGTTCATGATTTCTTATGAGATTGCAGCAATTAAGTCACATATTTAGGCTCCACTTTTAATTCTAATTATCTTGCTATTTCCATCAAATCTTCAGTTACTTCTTCTACTGAAGTCTTCAACCCCTGAAAGTCATCAATCAGGACTGGAATCAACTTCTTCCAAACTCCTGTTAATATTCGTATGTTGACCTCCTCCCATGAGTCACAAATGTTCTTAATGGCATCTAGAATGGCGAACCTCTTCCAAGAGGTTTTCGATATACTTTGTCCAAATCCAACGGCTATGGCAGTTACAGTCTTATGAAATGTGTTTCTTAAATAATAAAACTTGAAAGTCAAAACTACTACTTGATCCACGGGCTGCAGAATGGATATTGTGTTAGCAGGCATGAAAACAACATTCATCCCTTTGTTTATCTTCATCAGAGCTCTTTGGTGACCAGGTAAGCAATAATATTTTGAAAGGAGTCTTCTCTGAGCAGTATGTCTCAACAGTGGGCTTATTTGGTAAACCATGCTGTAAAAGGTGTACTGTCATCCAGGCTTTGTTGTTCTGTTGATAGAACCCAGGAAGAATTGATTTAACATAATTCCTAAGGCCTTTAGCATTTTTGAAATGGCAAATGAGCACTGGCTTTCACTTAAAGTCACCAGTTGCACTAACTCCCACCAAGAGAGTTAGCCTATCCTTTGAAGCTTGTAATTCAGGCACTGACTTCTTTCTAGCAATGACAGTCCTAGATGGTACCTTCTTCCAATATAAGGCTGTTTCAACCCCATTGAAAGTTAGGTTGGGTTTTTGTTAGTTGACTTTAAAGAAGAAGTAGCTCATTTGTCCAGAACTTCACTCAACCTCTGTGTTTACAGTCCTCTACAGCCATTTCCTGTGAACCAAGATAGTAAATTTGATCTGCCTCCAAAGATGAGGAGGAGGAAGTTGTGACTGGTGAGTTTTTCTCTTTAATGAAGGCAACAGAGCACAAGTGCAGAATGGGAAAATGAGTGTAGGGACAGAAAATGTTTTCTGTCAACCTTTCTTTTTATTTTTAAGCCCATGAAAAGAAGCTTGATTGCGGCCTTTCTGTAAGTAGAGGTGTACCCACTGGTTGAAAGTATCTTCAGAACGAACACAAATAAACATCCCCAAATCTCTTCTGGATTCAGTTTGTGGGAAAGAGCGTTATGAAGGTAAGCAACTTAGTAGTTTTATAAAAAGTACTCAGAAAAATAAGTCTTCATGTCTCAGTTGGATACATTTTAAAACTGATGTTGATAAAATCATATGAAAACAAGTAAATGAGTAAAACTGAGATAATCAGCATACCTTTTCTTTTCTATAAAATAAATACAGTTGACTTGAAAAACACAGGATTGAAGTGCATGGGTCCGCTTATATGCAGATAATTTTTCAATAAATATATTGGAAAAATTTTTGGAGATTTGCCACAATTTGAAAAAAATAGATAAATCTTGCAGCTAAAAGTATCTTTTAAATTAAGAAAAAGTTAGATATGTCATGAATGCATAAAATATTGGCAAATATTATTCTACTCATCATTTACTACCCTAAAACATATACAGATATTGTATAAAAAGTCAAGATTTATTAAAACATATGCACTTACAGCCTCACAGGTTGCCATTTGCAGTTGAGAGAAATGTAAACAAACATAATGATGCAGCATTAAATCATAATTGCATAAATTAATCATAGTATATACTGTACTACTGTAATAACTTTATAGCCATCTCCTCTTGCCAATATGGTGAACTCGAGTGTTGTGTCTGCTTAAAACACCATATGATGCTAACCATCTCCACATGAGCAGTTCATCCTTCCAGTGAATTGCATATCCCAATAAAAAGTGATCCTTCACCATTTTTGCATATTTTTAAATTGTGTTTAGTGCAATCATAAACATTGAATAATACCATTGAACTAATATGAAGTGCCACTAGTGACACAAGAAGTGCTCCCAAGAAGCAGAGAAAAGTGGCATTATAAGAAAAAATTGAATTGCTTGCTATAGATACCATAGATTGAGTTCTGCTCCTGTGGTTGAAAGCCACTTGAAGACAAATCCAGCAAAAAAACCATTGTAAGGAAAAAAAAAAAACGTATGAAACTGCTGCTGCAGCTATTCCAGCAGCATAAAAACTATGTATTTTTTGTGAAGTATGTTTTATCTTGTATTGAAAATGCAACTTTTATGTGAGTGCAGCATTGCTATAAGAAAGGCATATCCGAAGACTCAAATACAATTCAAGACAAAGTGAAGTCATTATATGAGAAAAGGGGAAAAGAAAGTGAAGGATCTGAATCTAGAGGGTTTAATGTCAGTAAGGGATAGTTTGATAATTTTGAAAAGAGGTTTGACTTTAAAAATGTGAAGATAAAAAGAGAAACAACTTCTGCTGACCAAGAGGCTGCAGGTGAGTACCCCGACACAATTAAGAAAACCATTAAGGAGGAAAGATATTTGCTTGAACCAGTTTTTAATGCAGACCGAAGTTCCCTATTTTGAAAAAATGCCATAAAGGACATTCATTAGGAAGGAAGACAAGTGAGCATCAGGATTGAAGGTAGGAATGGATAGGTTAACTCTACTGTTTTATGCAAATGCAGTGAGGTTTATGATCAGGACTGTCTTTGCCTATAACGCACCTAAACCCCAAGATTTAAACATTTTTTTTATTGTACTTTAAGTTCTGGGGTACATGTGCAGAACATGCAAGTTTGTTACATAAGTGTATACACATGCCATGGTGGTTTGCTGCATCCATCATCCCATCATCTACATTAGGTATTTCTCCTAATGCTATCCCTCCCCTCTCCCCCTACACCCTGCTATCCCTCCCCTAGATCTCTACCTCCAAACAGGCCCTGGTGTGTGATGCTCCCCTCCCTGTATCCATGTGACCTCATTGTTCAACACCCACTTATGAGAGAGAATATGCAGTGTTTGGTTTTCTGTTCTTGTGTCAGTTTGCTGAGAATGATGGTTTCCAGCTTTATACATGTCCCTGAAAAGGACATGAACTCACCTTTTTTATGGCTGCATAGTATTCTACAGTATATATGTGCCACATTTTCTTTACCCAGTCTATTATTGTTGGGCATTTGGGTTGGTTCCAAGTCTTTGCTCTTGTGAACAGTGCCACACTAAACATATATATGCATGTGTCTTTATAATAGAATGATTTATGATCCTTTGGGTATATATCTAGTAATGGGATTGCTAGGTTAAATGATATTTCTATTTCTAGATCCTTGAGGAATTGCCACACTGTCTTCCATAATGGTTGAACTAATTTACAGTCCCACCAACAGTGTAAAAGCATTCCTATATTTCCACATACTCTCCAGCATCTATTGTCTCCTGTTTTTCATAATGGCCATTCTAACTGGCCTGAGATGGTATCTCAATGTGCAAACCCTGAGATTTGAAGGGAGAAGATAAACACCAGCTGCTAGTCTTTTGTTTGCAGAACAATAAGGCCTGTACACTGAGAACCCTTTCTGGATTGGTTCCACTGATGATTTTTCCTGAAGTAAAGAAACACCTTGCCAGTAGGAGACTGCCTTTTAAAGTTCTTTTGATATTGGACAAATTGGACAATGCCCCTGGTCACCCAGAACCCCATGAGTTCAACGCCAAAGGAATCAAAGTGGTCTACTCACCAGCATCCCCCACCCCACATACACACAACATCTCTAAATCCAGGGGGTCAAAAAGACCTTTAACATTCATTACACACAGTAATCTATGGGGAAACGATTATCAAAACTGTGAAAGAGAACCCTGACATGGAGAACATCATGAAAGTTTGGAAATATTACAGCACTAAAGATGCCATTGTTGTTATAGAAAAACATGAAAACCATCAAGCTTGAAACAATAAATTCCTGGTGAAAAAAACTGTGTCCAGATGTACATGACTTCACAGGATTTATCACAGAGCCAATCAAGGAAATCATGAAAGTGATTGTGGATATGGCAAAAAAAAATTATAGGGAAGGGTTTCAAGATACATATCTTGGAGAAAATTAAGAGCTAACAGATATCACACCAGAGGAATTAAAAGATGATTTGATGGAGAGTGCTTCCAACCCTGTAACAGATTATGAGGAAGAAAATATAGAAGGAGCAATGCCAGGAAATAAATTCACATTAGACAATCTGGCAGAAGGTTCCTATTATTCAAGACTGCTTTTGACTTCTTTTACAGCCTAGACCCTTCTATGATAGAGGCACTTAGACTAAAATAAATGGTTGAATAAGGATTGGTACCAGATAGGAACGTTTTTAGAGAAATGAAAAAGCAAAAGAGTTAGACAGAAATTACAAAGGATTTCCGTAAAGTTACACTGAGTGTGACCTGCCTCTCCCACCTCCTCTTTCACCTCCTTCATGTCTTCCACCTCTGTCACTACTGAGACAGTAACATCAACCTCTCCTTCTCTTCCTCCAGGTCAACATGACTAGGAGGAATGATTGCTAATAGGCTGGAATTTACTTGGGAGGATGAAAATGTTCTGAAATCAGATTGTAGTTGTGGCTGCACAACGTTGTAACTATACTAAAATCATTTGAGTTTACACTTTAAATGTGTGAATTGTGTGGCTTGTGAATCATATCTCAGTAAAACTGTTTATAAATGTACAATGGTATATTCTCAGCCTAGTCAACATGATGGCAAGGGTGAAGACGTTTATGATGATCCATATCAACTCAATAAATAGTAAATATATTTTTCTTTTCCTTATAATTTCCTTAATAACATTCTCTTTTGTCTAGCTTACTTTATTGTAAGAATACAGTATATAATATATATATAGCACACAAAAAACGTCTTAATCAACTATTCATGTTATTGGTAAGGCTTGTAGTCAACAGTAGGCTATTAAAGTTTTGGGGAAGTCAAAAGTTATATGTGAATTTTTCACTGCACAGGGGTTGGTTCTCCTAATCCCGTGTTGTTCCAGGCTTAACTGTAATGTACATACAACCTCATCTAAGAAGACCTTCCAGATTTTTCCAAATAGAATTAACTTTGTTCTCTTTTCTGATTCTCATAAAATTTGGTTGTATGCTCATTTCAGCCTTCCCAGTATTAATTATTTAGATATCTATATCCCCAAAAAGATGGTGAGCTCCAGGAGACAGGATGTTTATTTAATAATAATGATAATAGTTATTACAACTGACATATAAATATTACATAGTTTACAAACAAGGCCTACATACATTTTCTCATTTTTTCTCTCACAAGAGCCTTATAATAGCTTTGCATTCTTTTCAGCACTGTATATAATACTTTGCATATAGTAGGCTTTCAAAAATATTTTGGGGCTTAATTAAAATTAAAACTGGATTGTGTGGGTTGAATTAAAATGCTGCCAATTCTCTGAATTTTTATGTCCTGTAAAGCAATTAAGAGAGGGAAAGAAGAGTCTGAATAATTTCACTTTTTCATTTGTATACAACTAATATATCCCTAAAACAAAAATTAAGAAAGTATTCATTTAACAATTAAAATTGATTATGAAAGCATCTAAACAAGGCAGGTTTTTAAACATTTGTTTATCTATTAGGTCAGAACATCTCTTCTTTTTCCTGCTCCCTTTGTTTGCTCACTTGACTCTTGGTCAGTATTCTGTGAGCTCCACATACAGTGTGTACATTGGGGAAATGAAAGGTCACACCAGGCTACCTGTTGGTAACCAGGACCAAGCCAGTTATGCCCATTCAACATATTTTCTTTTAGAAGACAGAGTTTCTTATAGCGCTTTGAGGCCTGCTTAAATTCTGACATTTCTGTGTTGGAAAATGAACTGAAGTTATCAACCTACATTTCACTACACAGATCATTAGTAACTAGAGCTGAATTATAAGCTTATATGATAATATCCCATGAGACAAAAGCTTTCTCACCAGTACGCACTTGAAGTAATCTGGTTTCTCTACTAAGTCTCTTCTATTTTCACGAGCAATTTAAAAATCACTTACAATTCAGAAAATAGGTCACCGCTTATTTAGTTTTTTAAGATAGTTGCAAGCAGTGTTTACCCCATGTCAAAAACCATTTCTTATTTTCGTGGGACTCAAATTGCCAATGGCTCTCTGGAAAAGAAAGGTCATTCAAAAAGAAATGGAACCAGAGAGTGGCTAATATAAAGAACTACACTTGTTTTAAAAAATGAAAAGCAAAACCTGAGAAAAGCACTTAGGAGCTAAATACTATTAGAATGAGAGGTAAGACTCCTGGAAAAAGAATAAAAACAGAATAGAGTCGAGTACCAGAAAGGAAACCAATGAAGTAAGAAATTATTGATGGTATTTGCATGTAGAGTACATGTAAGAAGAGAAATAAAAGTAATGGTCTTGGAATTCCACCTACATCGCAGACTCTTTTCCTGTAGGCATTCAGAACATATTACACAAAAGTAAAACTCTGCCAACAATAGTGGCTGTGTTTCCATAGTCCCTTGACGGACCAGAGCTTGTTTTAAGGAATAAGGAGCCAACGAAGGTTTTTGTGCAGATGGTGACATGGTCTATTTGTGCTTTAAAAGGGCCCCGTCTGGCAGCATTATAGAAAAATTATTGGAAGAAAAGAATAACCATAAAGAGTTGGAAGATACTGCAATATTCTAAAAATGAGAGAAGAGTCCAGAATCCAAAACTGACATTGAATTACAAGGAGATAATGAATAGGAAGGACATTAGGAGGTAAATTCAGTTGGACTCAGTAACTCCTGAGCTAGGAAGAGTAAAAAGGAATAAAATGAAACTAGAAAGAGAGTTCGTTATTTTACTGCGCCTTGAATAGACAGTGGGATGGGTGTTGACTATATTAATTAGGAAATAAAAGAGGAGACAATGCCTTGAGAAGATGAGCACAGTCAATGGTGTTGACCTGCACTTAGCTGCAAATCACATCATCTGCCTGAGGCACAGTTGAAATAAAAGGAGTGTCCACAATATATTAGAAAGAGTAACACTTCTAAAAATCCATGGGAACACATTTATACTAACTGACAGATTGCTCTTACAATAATACAATTGATTTCCATTCTTCGTTAAGTACACAATTAACTTCAGAGGCATTAAGATATAATGGATAGGTGTGTCCTGCTTTACCAGTTTAGAGCATAGGAAACTTCTAACGTTTAAAATAATATGACGAGCACTTTCCCATCCTTCTTACGACAAGAATGTCTACTTTCCTTCCTCACTACTGAGTTCTAGGGATGTCCTCCTTGCTAACCTTCACTGGGAGAAAAATAAAAGCACCTCATGAATTTGCCCAAGGCCCCCTTCTCTGCCACACCGCACTACTCTAGAAGGCTGCTGTAGTATGCATCCTGGGCAGGCCTCCACCATGAAGATGCCCCTCAGAGGCTTGCCTGCTTATCTGAAATGAACTAAGTTGAAGCTTCAGGCCCCTCACCTAAAAGGGCCTCCTCCATGTCCCTGGAATGGGTCCTAGCAACTGTATATTCTGAATTTTGTATTCTTTTATTTTTAAAGAAGGAACCCAACATGTTATAAATTCAGGTTCAATAACACCTGAAGTGGCCCTTTCCCACACTGTCACTGCTGCTCTGAGAGCAGCTTCTCCACATTGGGGAAGGAAGAAGCAGCCTCCTGACTCTCTCTGTCAAGTTTATGGTTGTGCTGTACCATGGTAGGCTAGGGATGGTTCTGGGACTTATAAGATCCTCTTGAGCTCCTAAAATATTGCTTGATTTTAATCAAATACACAGTGGAAATCTCCAATTGTGACTATACTAAACATAGCCCTTTTGATGCTTCTGTGAACGTAATGGAACCTAAACTGGAAGCTACCACCAGGATTTAAACCTTTGGAGGAATGTGAATAATTAAGGAGGCATATTCAGGATTTAACTTTATTTCAGAAGGATAAATGTCTTAGATACTAACTTGTCTTCTTATTCAATTAAATAATGTAAGAGTTCATGTTTCACTGAAATATTGTTTTTTTGCCCTATTTTGATTTTTCAGGATAAAAAGTCCAAACATTACAATATTCCTCTTTTTAGAAAATGAATCTGGCAGAAATTTTATCTTTTATTTTTCTACCTTTAAAAGACCAAGTTGGAGTTTATTTTTTGCATTATTTTAAAAACTTAGGGATAAGTAAACTTTTAAATAAGATACCAAAAAGAGCAAAAATCTCTAAGAATGTTTTAAAAATTAGAAGTGAGGGAGAGACTAGCTCTGCAAACTATTAAAACGTGTTGCAACATTAAATCAGGAGCAGTGTGAAGAGGCGAGAATGACCCCAGGGCCAACCAAAGCCCACGCCCAGCAACTATGTCCTGCTACCACGCCCAGGAGAAAGGTGAAGGGCTAAGCACAGAGAAGATCCGCGAGGCTGTCTGTTAAACCTGCTTCCTCCAAAGCCAGAGCCCAAGCCTAAAATGGCTCCTGCAAAGAAGGGAGACAAGGTACCCAAAGGGAAAAAAGGAAAAGCTGATGCTGGCAAGGAGGGGAGTAACCCTGCAGAAAATGGAGATGCCAAACAGATGGGACACAGAAAGCTGATGGTGCTGGAGATGCCAGGGAAAGTGGGTGCATTTTTGATAACTGTGCACTTCTGGTGACTATACAGTTTGAAATACTATTTTTATCAACTTTCATAACATGTAGAACTGTGTTTTACCTTTTGTTTAAGCTATCTTGTTAGCACACAGAGCATTTCATTGTTGTTTTGGGGAAGGGGTATATGTCACTCATAGAATGTCTCTGAAGCTGGATTGATGTGGGTGGGGATAACACCTTTACGTTCTAGTTTTGAGAGACTTCCTCTTGACTTCCAGGAAGAGGGATTCCCTGATTTTGACACACATGGCCACCTTGGCACACAAAAGCCTTGTGATATGGAAAAACAAATTCATTTTTATTCCATCTTTCAGCATAGACTTAACTCCTTTAAGCCCAGACATCTGTTGGGACCTGACCCCCAGTAGTTGGTTACCAGTGTGTCAGGCAATCTGGACTTTCCATTGATGCCGCGGAGATGGCACCCCTCAAAAGAACAGTGGTTCTGTTTCTAGATTGTGGATCTTCAGATAAATTCTGCCATTTTCATGCCACTTCCTGAAAGTCAGGGTTGGCTCATGAAAAGCTGTTAAACAACATGTGAAATGTGAAATGTCAACCCTCACTCTAAACTTTCCCTGTTCGGAGCATCAGATGAAGACTTCTTTGGTTTTTATAGTGGCTTTTTGATTTTTGGTAGTCCATTGAAGAAGGGAGTTTCAAAGTTGTATACTATTAGAGATTGCCTACCCATGTCCTGCCTGAAATACCATGATTGTTTATGGAAAATATCTTTAATAAACTTGGATACAGTTTGGCTTGGGGAAAAAAAGTTTAATCAGTGTGACAGTAACGAAAGCATATCATTAACTAAATACATACTGGCTATTATTTTCAATGATAATGTTATTATAAAGACTTCTTGTACCCACCCCCATCCCCCAAAGCAGTAGTTAGTCACCTAAGGTATCTGAGTCTCCCTTGTCAGAATTCTCAGTTTACTGGATTGCAAGTTTGCTTTTACCCAGGAATAAATGCTTGAGTGGCCGCACCTGACTCAGCTTTGGTCACGTGTCTACATGTGGCTCCTTTGCTAGGATCCCCTTGAACTGCTAAAATATCGCTTGATATTATCAAATACACAGTGGAAATCTCTATTGTGAATATACTGAGTACAGCCTTTTTGATGCTTCTGTGAACCTAATGGAACCTAAAGTGAAAGCTACCACCTTGATTTAAAGCCTCTGGTGTAACATTCTTTTGCAGTGCTTCTGAGGAAATCACTTCTGGAGCAACTGCTTTTGCTTCTGTATCAGTCCCTCACCTCTGTCGTCTCATCACTGATCTGTTTGCCTCTGCTTTCTATGTTTCAGAAACTCTCGCTGTCCTGGCCTGCAGGTGGAGCCCTCCTGGATTTCCAGAGTTGCTATGTGTTTTATTTTTAAAATTTATACTGTCATTTCAATGGGATCTGGGAAGATGGAGAGGAAATGTGGATACAGTCCACTTTCTTGAAGAAATCTTTTATGTTTGTACTCAAATCAGTTATCTTCCAAAATGAGTTTTTTCTTTGATATTTGCTTCTGTTTGTCTTTGGATAATATTTGGTATTTTATATCTAATTCTTCAATTAGCTTGATTTTTTCCCCAAATATGTAACCTATTATCCTAGGAACATTTACAAAATTACTAATCATTTTCTCTATTTTTTCCTTTAAGAAAACTCATATATGCATATATATATATATATATATATATATATATATATATATATACAGGTCTAAAATATAAGGATTAAAAAATAAGTTGACATAAATTAGTTTATGTTTGAAAAGAGGGGAGATATATAGGTCACTATATATTACGCATTATATATAATTGTGTATAAATAGAAATGTTATGGGAGGCTGGAAATCAAACTGTTAATCTCTTTTGGAGACTAGAAATGGGAGAAAGTCAGAGGTGAGGGATTCATAATTTCAAGAGCAGAGATAGTGTGGACCAAGACCAACAACAGCCAACAGGTGTTTGGCGGGAAAAAAGGGCTAGGGCCAGCTGACTCTAGAGTTTGCTGAAAAATACAGTCACTAGTGCACATGTTCATAAATTGAACATTCAAAAAAATAGCTAACATGTATCGAAATCTTACTATACGCCAAGTACTGTTCGCATAGCTTTATATGTACTGATTCATTTACTCCACATAAAAAATTTATACAGATGAGTACTACTCATCACAATTGTAAAGATAAGGAAACTGGAGCACAAAGTGGTCAGATACATTTTTCTGTATACGCTATGGATGGCACAGCCAGAATCTGCCCCAGTTGAAGTGGTGTTAGAGCCCTCCTTAATTGCTGTGTTCTATTGCACAGACTTAACTATCACCTCCTGAAACTTTCTCACACCCTTCTTACAGTCACCAATGCTCCCAAAAGCAGAACCTTTATTCCAACCATATAAATGAAAAGCTCCACTTTGAAGAAATGAAATACACTCTAAAGATAAATACTACCATTAAACATTCATCTAAAAGTATAGTCTGGAAATGAAGAGTCAACAAATATTTGAGAAAAACCTAGGGCAAAGAAAACATAAGTTCCACCAAAGAGATTTTAACTCCCAAGGAAACAGAGTTAATACAGAAGGTAGAATAAAATATCAAAACAAGTCTAGTTCCTGTTTTCAGAGATACAAGGGGTTGTGTTCACACATACTATACGCAGATTGGAGTTCTTGATTAAAACATGGTTACTGAAATTAAAAACGGATTATCTAACAGAATGAAAATAAAAGATCAAGTTAGTGAATTGCAAGACTAAGCAATTCTCTCAAGATATCATGTGAAGGCAAGAGCATAAAAGTATAAGAACAATGTTGGAATAGAATCAGAAATTCTGTAATAGACAGAATAATGATCCCACAACGATGTACCACATCCTGCATCCTAATGCCTAGAACCTGTGAATATGTTACCTTACACAACAAAAGTGACTTTGCAGCTGTGAGTAAATTTGGGATCTTGATATGGGGAGATTATCCTGGATTACTTATGTAGGCCCAATGTAACGGCTTACACAGGTAGGGTCTCCTATGTAGGGTCCTTTTATGTGAAAGAGCAAGGAGGATCAGAGGTTAAAACAGATTTATTATCTTAAAGTTCTGTAGTTCAGAAATCTGAAATGGGTTTCACTGGGATAAAATCAAGGAGTTGGCAGGGCTGCATTCCTTTCTGGAGGATTCTCTAGGGGAGGATCCATTTCCTTGCCCCTGCCAGCTTCTAGAGGCTATCCGCATTCCTTGGCTCTTGCTGTCCATCTTCAAAGCTAGCAACAGTGAGTAGGGTTCTCACATCACATTGTTGACATCCTCTTTTGACTCCTCTTCCACATTTATGAACCCTTGGGTCCATCCCAAGAGTCCAGAACAATCTCCCTATTTTAAGGTCAGCTGATTAGCCACCTTAATTTCATCTACTATCTTAAATTCCTCTTTGACACATGATGTAACATATTCATAGGTTCTGGGAATGAGCATATGGACATCTTTAGGGGACTGATATTCTGCCTGCTAATCCCACCCCTACTCCTAATTTTAGATGCCTCCTGTCTTTACAATGTAGATCATTTCAGGCATGCCTAAACTTCTACCTTTAAACTTTCCAATATAGTCTTGGAAGAGGAGTTTGGTGGGAGGCAAAGAGTTGTTTTTTAGTGTACAAAGACAAAAATATACTGGGTGTCCTGTCCAGTGCACTCTTCAGGGATTTTCAGCCTCTTGTGGTCTTTGAACTATTTTGCAATTTTGTAAGTTGTAGAAAACTAGAAAACTGATAATACTGCAAACGACTTTGTTTATAGAAATGCAAGTATTGTCTAGGGGAATACAATTGATTCTTACCCTATTGATATTGACCTATTTTGCCAGTTTGTATTCATTTTCATATTATTCATTTCATTTTGCCAGTTTGTATTCATTAGAGTCTTAGCATGTCTATATATTTGTTTTCTCTTCGAATACTCCTTTGAAATGAGTTGTAACATTTTATTGATTCCCTCATTAATAAGTAAAATAAAATTTTGGTCACCATTAATAATTAAACTCCTTTAAATATTTTTCCTTTAACAGTAAAACTTTTATTGTAAATGTATATTTAGTCATTGAAAAAAATTCTTAAACTCAGATGTCCATGGAAATGTAGTTAATTATTTGCTAAAAATTATCTGATCACCTTTACCAGAGATCCCACCTGCTCACTCACTATGGATGGAGTGGTGAGCAATCTAATGTTAAGCCAATCCAGATTAAAATTTAGTCTTACCCAATGATGTAAACTCAGGTTAACCCAGTCTTTTCCATTCAATCTCTCAGTTTCCCTCCTACTGAGAGGGAAACTCTTTCCTTCCTCTTTTCACTTCTCTTAATGTTTATAGACAACAGGGTAGGACAATAATGACCTAATTACTTCCTCCCTGGATTCTCAGTTGTTCTGCAGACCACTCTCTTTATTCCATCTTGCACATGGCCTCCAGCCTAGAAATCTATGCTAAAACTTCATTTCTCTCCAGCAGTCTTTATGAAGGGCCCAATGCTTCTCAACTCAGTGTGGATGCCACACATACACCCAAAAATGGTTGGGAGAGCCAACTAGACCCTCTTTTGCCAGATCACACAGTTTGTCTGACAGGAGGAATGTGGGTTAAAAATGTGTAAAATATACTTAAGTATTTTTTATAATTTTATGAAAACTAGTGATGTTTAAAAGTTGCAACTGAAAAAAGTAAAAATATATGGAGCTTTATACCCATAGACAGTGGATTCCTCTAGACAGTGGATTTATGGTGGTTTTTAAAGTTAGTTTTTCTTTTTTATATTTTCTGATTTTTAATAAAGAATATATAAAACTTTTTGCTTAGGATTGTTCTGGCTATTGGGGCTTTTTTTGGTTCCATATGAATTTTACAGTAGTTTTTTTTCTAATTCTGATGCTAGTAATTTGATTGGAAGACTGTTAAATCTATAGATAGCTTTGGGCATTATGACCATTTTTAATGGCACTGATTCTTCCAATCCATGAGCAGAAAATGTTTTTCTATTTGTTTATGTCATCTATGATTTCTTTCAGCAGTGTTTTGTAATTCTCCTTGTAGAGATCTTTCACCTCCTTGGTTAGATGTATTCCTAGGTATTTTACATATTTATTGGTTTTTATAAAGATGACTGAGTTCTTGATTTGACTCTCAGCTTGAACATTAGATTGGAAAAAGAAAATATATTCCATACTATATGTCATGGAATACTATGCAACTGTTAAAAAGAATGAAATGATGTCCTTTGCAGCAACATGGATGCAGCTGGAGTCCATTGTCCATTGTCCTAAGTGAATTAGCATAGGAACAAAAAACCAAATACCACATGTTCTCACTTCTACATGGGAGCTAAACATTGGGTACTTGTGGACACACAGATGGCAACAATAGACACTGGGGACTAATAGAGGGAGGAGGTTGGGAGGGAAAGGTTGAAAAAATACTTATTGGGTACTATGCTCACTACCTGGGTTATGGGATCATTTGTATCCCAAACCTCAGCATCATGCAATATATCTATGTAACAAACCTGTACATGTACCCTCTGAATCTGAAAGGTGAAATTATTTACAAAAAATAATATATACAAAAGTGGTGTAACAAAAGCCATTTTAAAGCAAGGTACAAAATTATATGAATAATGTGCCCTCAATATGTTATAGAAGTATATAGAAAAAAGACATAAATAAATTACACTGAGATGTTAACAGTGATTATTTTAAGATTGTGGACAATGTTTTTTTGTGTATACGTATCTATTAAAATGTAGGGATACACCAAAACAGTTTCTGATATTGGTTGGACTGAGCCGTTTTGAGCCTAGCGTTTTTTTTGTTGTTGTTGTTTTTAAAATTTCTCCAATGATTGAGCCTAGTGTTAATGAGTCTAGACTTCAGTTGGGTAATAGTCCCTTCAGAAGCATTGTGTTCCACAGATAGTGACTAAATTTCAATGTATTTAATATGGTCAGGCTTTGGGTGCCCAGCAGATCTCATCTTAAATGATAAGTCCCATAATCCTCATAAGCCCCACCTGTCAAGGGGGAGACCAGGTGGAGGTAATTGAATCATGGGGGTGGTTTTCTCCATCCTGTTCTTGTGATGGGGAGTGAGTTCTCACGAGATCTGGTGGTTTTATAAGCGGGGGTTCGGGGTCTTCCTCCTTCACTCGGTTCTTCTTCGTGTTGCATTGTGGGAAAGGTGCCTTGCTTCCCCTTCACCTTCCGACATGATTTTAAGTTTCCTGAAGCCTCTCCAGCCCTGCTGAACTGTGAGT